CTGAAATAACCCTCTTTGTATCATCATGGGGAGTCTATCTTCCCCTTTCCAACTCTAACATTCATGAGAATACAGACTTTGGTTCACTCAGCATCTGGGACAGTATTTGGCTTCTAATATACTCATTAAATATAAAATAATGAGATTATAATTCATGGCATTATTATTTCCATCTCAATGTATCCAGTAGCTACCTCTCTGCTTTCTCCAATACATCCCCAATACCATGCTGTATCAAGAGCAGCATTCACATTTCCTTCTAAGGTTGTTTGTGAGTTTTCTCCTGTGTACTGTCTAGCTCCCCCTTCCTGCACCCTCTCACATCTGTCCTATGCCACAGCCACATAGAACCACTTTCTTTTCCAGACTGTGCCCCATGCTTCATGCTTCCTTGCCACTTGTCCTCCTTCTTCCCCATGTGTCATCATCAGCTTATCCTTCAAAACCATAGCTCCACATTTCCTCCTCACCAAGTTATGGTCAATAACTCAACAATTTTCAGTTTTTCTCAGACTGGGTTGAAATTATTTATTTATAATCTTGTCTCCCCTACATGACTGTGAGCTCATTAAAGACTTGGACCTCCTTACTATCTTTAGGTCAGTAGCTGGCATGTGCTGTATAGTTACTCAAAATACTACTCAGCCATAAAACACAACAAGACTCTGGCATCGGATAGAAAGTGGACAAATATGGAAGATTTACTTCTGATTGAAGCAAGTCAGTCTATAAAAGAGATACATGATATATTCCCACTTTATGCCAACAGCACTCTATGGTAGACATTGGAAGACTGGAGGATACAGAAGCATGGGAAATGGTTGCAGATACTGGACATAGAGTGGGAGGAGGCTGGGAGCTGAGGGAGGGTGAGAGAAAGGTAATCAAGGAGAAAAATAGAGAGGCGGGACATTTGGGGGACACAGGAGTGGAGGACTGTCTGTTGATAGCATGTATGATATCTTTAACTGGACAGGTGTGCAGTGTGTTCATGCTGGGAAAAGTCATTTTATAAGCCATTGATGTATAGTGATTAAATGCACAACATAAATTTAAAAAAATGTTTGCTGAATTGAACTGAATCAAATTGATCGTATGTGATCACATATATCTCCATTCCCAACTCCACAAAAGACTTTTAGTTAAAATAATATATGGCCCATCAATAATAAAAAAATAATTCATATAATAAAAATAACGCTAGTAATACTTACTGAGTGCTCACTATACCATGAATTTGAAATGCATTCACTCGCTTAAGAATAATATTAGGAAACAGAAGCCTAGAAAGATTAGTAACTTAACCAAAGTCACAAAACTAGTAAGCCCAATATTTGGAATTTAAACAATTGCTTTAGAGACCCAAGGCCTATTATATCTCCTTTCAAAGTATTCCTAAGAAAAGGGGCCAGATAGTGGCACAGCAGTAATATAACTGAAACCACAAGAGAAGGTCCTTGGTTCTTGTGCCAAGTCCTCGCTGTACATGACAGGTACATGCATGCCCATGATCCAGGCTGGCTAAGGCTGGGGTGGACAGTGGCAAGAAGAGCCTGTTGGGGATGCTCATCTTCCATCTCTCCATCTCTCTATCTCTATGTTTCTTCCACTTATGGAAAAAATAAATAAAATTAAGTAAAGTTATCTATAAGGAAAGTACTGGTTACCAGAAAGTTGACATGCTCAATGTATCTGCCAAGTTGGGAGACTCTCATGGTTTATCTGCCTCAGCTCCCACCCAGAGAGATGGGAGGGCTACAGAGATGAAACCTGCTGGTGAAGGGACGGAGGTCCTGACCACATGCTGCCTCAGGTCTTTGTTTTCACTGGTCTTTGTCCTTCCACCTGAGCTGGTGCAAGTAGACTTTCTGGTTCTCACAACTAAAAGCACCTTGATCAGAAGTCATCATTAGCCCTGACAGGTCACATTTCTTCAGATTTGAATATCCAGATGCGAAATCAATCCAGGTGTCATTACCTACCTTGGGCATGCAGATTACCAAATGCCCTGTTGTCTGAGATCTTTGAGCAGAGCTGCTATCAGGTTTGACTTCTGCAGGAAGGACAAGCTGAAATGGCTGAAAATATGTAGGGGGTGTCATTTGAGGGCGAGAACGTGCTATGTGAGGGGGTTACTGTAAGAGGTACGCTCATGACAAACTCGAGATCTAACATTCAGTTAACAAATTGTATTTAGACTTAATAAGAAAAAAATATATGTGCGTTAAGCTTGATACACATAAATTATTTTACCTATCTTAATGAATAGTATAAAGAACAGTCATCAGTCACAAATAGTAACACACTCCCAAGTCTGTTCATGGCCAAAAAGTAATTTACAGATAAAAATTCCTGTCATAAAACATCAATATACTTCCATTGAAAGTCTTCCAGCTAACTCATATGAATGCTGTGAATCAGCAAAAAAAAAAAAAAATACTATTACAAGAATGATAAAATTATACTTGTTATGAATAAAAACACCGACAATTTAGAATAGTTATATTGTTTGACTTCATGCTTAGGCTCCCACACATATGATCATGTTATTGACTTTTCAAAAAGTACTACATAATAGGCACAGATTTAAAATGTTATTTATCAAGCTCCATGATGGTCAGCAGTGAATTCTACTGTGTGCCATTCCCTTGGTATAAAACCACATGCCTAAAAATAGCACCAGTACTGGGTTTTTCTTTTTCTATTTTAATAATACTTTAAAACTTTTGAGACAACATGACTTAGTTCAAGGCTTAGCACCTGACATTATAATGGTCTACAGGGTTATATTTACCTTTCCTCTGACCGTTACTCGCACGTAAGTTGGCTGCACATTAACATCAATTAAAGAGGTATCCATATACCTTAAAAATAAAACATACCAGATCTTACTATTTTCAAAAACATTCAAGTGTAAAGAAATGCAAATACACATTCACGCTTACCAAACCATTTAAAAAATAAAATGTACAATTTTCCAGGCCAACCAGGTTTTTAAAAATTAGTCTTAAATTAATCCCCAGACCAAAGGAAATGCAGTACATCAGCGATTTCATTTTTAGGCCCACAAGTATACTTGGCATTGATTGCCCCTAACCCAAAAATATCTGAGGTCTGAAACACCAGAGGTTTGCAAAAAACAGCTTGCCATGTTCTTTCATGAATATTTTATTTTAAGCCCTTACGACTTGAATAGCCAGGAATGCTGAATCTACCGCGCTTGGGGCCCGCATGCACCAGCTCCTGCTTCCTTAGCGGCTCCGTCCCCTGCAGCTGTTCTGCAGCTGCCCTGATACCATCTCCTCTGGGAGGCTGACTGCGCTTCT